ATGAATAGGATTTGAAATGGGTACTCATGCATTCATTATTGTTGCTAATTCAGGCTTCCAATCTTAAGTGCAAAAACTGTTTTATGCCAATATCTTACCAAAGTGTGGCAATGTAGGCAGAAAAATTCAAAATTTGGCACTGTGCTGGCCTTTACGCTCATGCACGAGTAGGGCTTATCAAATCAAAGACTAGATTTAATGCATTTTTGAATGTTTTTAAAATATAAACCTCCTTTAATGCTCTTGACTACCTAACGCTTGAATTATACCGAAATATTCCTGCAAATCCGGAGCGTATTTATACTGTAGAGAGCCTAGAAGACATTTATTGGGTCGCATCCTCGAAAACATTTTCACTCAGTTAGCACTTGACTCGTACAGAGGCCACTGCCTTTATGCATAAGTACTGGTGAGAGTATTCGGTAGCCACTTATTTGTGAATTTACCTTAAATATGTGGTTGCACCTGACTACTAATGCCACATATTTGGAGTCTTCCTATTAGCTTTACCGTCTTGCTTTTCATTCGCAATTGTTTACACAAGTTTTCGGTTTTCCAAATTGTTGCGATGAGAGTGAAATGTACAATGTACTGCAAGTTCATAGTCACGCCAACCCATTTTAGCTGCATTGCCAATCCCAGCTACAATAAACGTAGTTGGAAAACGGACCACGTACCACGTGCCACTGATCGATTTCCACAGGTGTCAACGGGGAAGAATGAAATTTTGATGGCGAGAGATGCTCACCAATGCTGTGCAACGTCTTCTGCTACTCGTCGCCATCCTCTACGCTGTCGTCTTTCCCGCAATTCACTTTACCCCAACACCTTCCTCCCACTTCGGCTCAACCGAGCAGCATGTGCTCTTTTCATACTTCATCACCCCTCCCTTTTCCACCCCAAGCGCGTGAAAAGGTTAGGGCATAGGGAACAGGTTGGATTCATGCCAGTTAGGGTAAGCCATGACATCTCTTCGTTTATTGTCCTCGTGTCCTCTTTTCCTTCCTTCCATCCTTCCTTTCTTCCTTCCCCCTCTTCCTCCCCATTTGCACTCCTCATCCCACCTATTACATCAGGCGGTAGCGCTTCTAAGTGGACATGCCAAGTGAGGACTGCGTGCCTACAGTGATCTCACTAGCTTCATCTAAATCTCATTCACACTTACCTATATGATACCCCTCCATCATGTTTATAGCAGTTGCATGAACAGAAGGGCAAATAAACGGATAAATAAATGCATGGATAAATGGACGAAGTGGAAGGAATATAGAAATGAGGAAAGCAGTACCGCATCACCAAAATGTTCTGAATTAATTTGTCCAGGGCACACAGATATCATGGTATAATGCTTTCTTAGCCATCTCTCTTCCTTCTTCTCGCACTTCATCATTCCAATCCTTCCGTTTTTGCCAAACAATTGCTATCCCTTGCCTCCATCGCAAAAGTCAAGTCACGTCATTTTCTCATAACTTTATTTACGACCACCCTATAACAGAGCCACCCTTAATAGCTAGCACGATTATTGTTGGTGGTCCGGGTCTGTCTCCCTGCCCTTCCCGTGCTGCCACCACTTCTGCCGATAGCCTCGCACTCTAATGAGTCATAACAACAGGGTGGACTCCATTCCCTTCTCTACTGCAATTGTGAGCAGAGCATGGCCAGATATGCAGTAGTGGTGACTCGGGCAATCAACCGTGCTAGTGGTTGGTGTTCCAGTTTAGCCTCGAAGTGAATCATCTGCCCAGCATGCGCGGTTTAATGCCGGTACAGAAGTATGGACATAGAGCCTTATGTGCTTTAGTCCTTCCTACACAGCCTGCACCGAAGTGCGTGGGGACACGAGGCACATGTAAAGAACAACGACTTATTGTCAAATGTACATCGACAAAGTTGTCAGAAAATAGCACACCTACTTTGAGGAAAGCATTCATGTTGCAGATAGGAGAAGATGCACGCTGCATTGTCGGCATGAATGGAAGATTTTGAATGAGTTCAAGAAAAGAAGTGGGCAGGAGCGAGGTGTTTGGCCACTAGTTGAAAGGACATTGAAATCCACCTCCACGAGGAGTGCCGGCACACACAGTAGGTCATTTCAATTTGGAATTAAATTGTAGCATTGATTAAGAGAAAAGAAAGGGAGCAACAATTCAGCGCGTGTGGACTGAGTTTCATGGCATGCCACACCAAATCAAGTGAAGTGATGCCCATTTTAAAGGGACCAACTTGACGTCGGTTTCAAGGGCAAGTGGCTTGTGGTACAGCCTGTGAATTATCGGTATGAAATTCACCATTTTCGACGTGGTCTGCGGTCATGTCACGCCATCTCATGCCATGCTAAAGGACAATTAGCAGGAGGAGAGACGATCCCCTTCGCAATTTTAAAAAAAA